CATGTATGGTTTTGTCATGCACATCTTAGGAGGGAGATTGTAAGGGGTTACAATAACTGGCCAACAAGAATACGCACTTCCGGACGCTTGGACATATGGAGCAAAACCATCAGAGCATAATCCAAGCCTGACATTTCTAGGTTCAGCGGAAAAATCAGGATGTACCTCATCAAAGTGCTTCCATGCATGGCTGTCAGATGGGTGTCGCATATTGCCTGGGCTTATTTTGTTTGTATGATGCCATGTCATTTGACTTGCACTGTGCATTGAAGAAAACATTCTTTTTAACCTTGGTATTATAGGAAGATAAAACATGGACTTTACTGCTACCCGTTTTTGGTTACTGTTAATGGCTCTATTGCGAACTTTATATCTTGGACTATGACAAAACTTACATTCCTCTGACGATCCATCTTGAGTACCAAACTCGTTGTCATAAAACAACATACAACCATTAGTGCAACAATCAATCTTTCTTACTCTTAAACCCAACTTCGACACCAACTTCTTTGCATCACAGAAACTCGCAGGCAAGTTGTCTTTCGTTGCAGTTGAGTCCAACATCATTTTTGCGAAGTGCTCCAAACACTGATCAGGAACATTCCAATTTGACTTGGCGGCCAATAATCTAACACACATTGATAACTTTGAGTCTGACGACCCCTCAAACAACGGCGTATTCATCTCATTCAACAACTGATAAAATCTCTGCGCTTCCTCATTCGGCAACTCTTCCCCGTCAAAGTCTTCAGGTTGATCATAGGTCACGTTAACACCAAAAGCATCACCAACCATGTCACCTATCAGATTAAATTTTTCTTCAAATTCCATAGGTGGTTGCATAACCGGTTGACTACTTGAAGCATCTGTGTTGCTAGTCTCTGGTACATTACTCGGCAGTGTTTCACCATGATGCGTCCAAACCCAATAATTTTCAATGAAACATTTCCTATGCAAATGACGTGTTATTTCCTCTGGGTCACTAATTATATATCTACAACCACATTTAAGACAAGGACACCTAACTCCTCCTTCACTTCGACAACGTTCCTGGGCAAACGTCCACGCGATAAAACCATTAACCCCGTCTATAAAATTGGGTTTAAGTGCGCGTCTTCCTGGATATAGTCTATCGTACATCCAACTACGATAATACATATAATATTCCATTTACTGCAAATTTATATAATCAAAACCTATTTAATTAGAAATATTAATTAATCAACTTAATAATAATCCTAAACATATACAATTAAAGATAAATATATGCTTTCAACAATATTTATAAACTCCTAAAAATATTTTTAAACACTTAAAATTTAATTTAAACACCTAAATTTTATAAACTCCTAAAAATTTAAAAACTTATTAAACTCCTAAAAATTTAATTTAAACACTAAAAACTTATAAACTCCTAAAAATAAAAAAACTTAAACTCCTAAAATAATTAAACTCATTCATCATCACAAATTAATAATTAATAATTATTATAAACTAAATAATTAAACCTAACATTTAACTCAAATACAGAAAATATATATATAACCCAAATTCAACAATTTTAACCCAATGCAAATTAATCAAAATCAGAAAATATACTAATTTCAAAAAAAAAAATTCAAGACATACCTTTTATCTTGTAACTCCTTCAATCTTCTTGTCCCTATTTGCAATCTATACTTCTATATTCTCCTTCTCTATTCAAAGAAAAATTGAAAAAAAATTATACTCAAAATAACACATCAAAGACAATTAACAAAGTATATAAAACATGAAATTGAAATTACCTTACAAAATGGATGAAGATGGTAGGAATAAAAGAGTGGAGAAGAAAATTTTTTTGGGAAGAAAATGGGTATGGTTGAAGAGTGGGGAAGAAAGTTTTTTGTGAAGGTTGAAGATGAAGAAGTGAGACAAACAGAACGATGTGGAACGTTTTCATAAATTGCATAAACCACTTAGCGACGTGAAAATCACGCCGCAACGTTGCCACGTGATTTTCACGTCGCAACAAGTTTATAACTGCTATCTCTTCCTTCAAAGCCTGCACACGCGTGTCTTGGAAGTTGTGACTGAATTAAATTTTGTCATATTTTAATTAGCGACGTGAATCCCACGTCGCTACTTTTTTTAATATACAAACGTAACTGACACACTCAATGTATCAGTTTTATATTATTAAAACACGTTGCCACGTGATTTTCACGTCGCAACTGATTTTATTTAGCCACATGAAAATCACGTGACAACTTCACGTGGCTGGGGAAGCTTTTTCTTGTAGTGTCAGAAATATTCAGGTTGCAAAATTGAGAATTGTATAAAATTGAAAAAAAATTTAAAAAATCACAAATTATATCACAACGGTTATTAATTCAGCCGTTATTATAAAAAGAGTGATTTCTAGAATAATAAAATCCAATAAAGGCGTTGTCACAACGGTGGTTTCCATAAACCATAATTATAAATAACGCATTATGTAATTTATAATAACGGTCACACGCCCGTTGTAATAATCGACATATATACAATCATATGCTACTTAACAACAACATATGTGATATCGTTATTATATGTGTTTTGTAACGGTTATTGTATGTGTTTTTAAGTAGAATTGTGCATCACTATCGTTGCACACTTTGCTTCTTAGTTGCTTTGGATTTCTAATTTTTTGTTTTTAATTTAATTTATAAGTTCTATGATCAGTCATGTATATGGACCATTGATAGTATATGGTAAATTTAGCTGATCTACCTGTTAATATTAGAGCACCATTCCTTTCACTGCTCTATAGCTTAGTCTATAGTTTAATTGTGTCGAAAGTGTACAATTTTTTTTCCCATACACAACATAGTGTAAATGCCATCTCTAAGTGTTCATTCCTACATTAACGCTTTTTTAGCTTCATAGTCTCTATTAGTAGTATTAAGTTAATATATGTAGTTTATGCGAATTTTATTGTTAAGATGGATTTGTAAATACATTTATGTTTAGAACTTTATACCCACATCATAAAAAATAAACCACAAAAAACTTATTTTTAAATAATAATTATCAAATATGAATAAAATATATTCAAGTATTTTAACGTATAAATACAAAATAGTAAATAAATAATTATATAATTTTAATGATAATAGAAATAATATTTATGCATAAAATTAAAATAATAATTATGTAACTTTAATGATAATAGGAATAATATTTATGAATAAGATAAATATATTTTATCAGTCAATTATTAAATAAAGTTTATTAATAAATTAGTTAAAAATAAATAACTATCATAGATGCATAAATAGATAAAGAAAACATAAATTATTTTGATTATAATTTGTTATAATTGTCAAAATATATTGCTCTGAGTTAGGTTATGTTTCAGAAGAGTTGGTATTCTCACGGTGGTCTTATTTTTAGTGCAAGTTGCTTTCATACAAATTGTTTTTAACGTATATTTGAGTATAATTATACTGTAAAAAATAATAGTATACAAAAATAATAAAATTACTGATCAAAATATAAAGTTAGTCAATAAAATTTTAATATATATTTTTTTAATATCGTGAAAATTATATGAAACACAAAAATTACGATAACATATCCAATATTATGTAATTAGTGAATAAAATTTTAATAAATTTTGTATTCTTATATCATTGAAAATATATGAAACAAGAAAAATGAAAGTATGGATCCAAATATTGAATAATAGAAATCTACCTATTATTTTTTTGATATATGTGAAAAAGATTAATGCAATTTTAAAAAAAATATTGAGTAAATATTTTAAAATTGTATTATCTCTTATAAAATAATTATCTTCTTCGTAAAAAAAATAAACTTGATTTATCTAATAGAAGTTTTCGTAGTTTTTATTTTTAATCAAATTATTCATATATATATATATATATATATATATATATATATATATATATATATATATATATATATATATATATATATATATATATATATATATATATATATATATATATATATATATATATATATATATATATTACTATTTCAATTTACATTTACAATTATGCTTCTTTTTTTCAACTTCTTATTTTTATCATAGTTTCCAAACAAAATACGCGTCCAAAACTATATTCAATCAAAAATCACATCGTATGCGTATGCATGGGTTTTTTACAATTTTATTTTACAAAAATAACATTTTTAAAATACATCTTTTTAAAAAAATTGTGATTTTGTTTAAGTTTTAATCTTAAATAATCTATATTTATATTACAAGATGTTAAATTATTTATAAAAAAACGTATTTATAAATGTTTTAAGAATAAAAAAAACTATATTTTTATAGTTAAAACAAATGGGACCAAAATAAAATTTACCATTGACAAATTATTTTCTTATAAATGATTCTAATGGATGTGAAAAAGATATTAGGATAAGAGATATGGAGCATAGGACATCATCAAAGGATAATGAAATTGAGAGTGAAAATTGAGTTGTGAGCAATAGAGGAGAACAAAATCATATGACACCGAAGCAGAAATGTAAAGAGGTAGTGCAAATTACATCCTATTGAATTAGATAAGCTTTGACAGATATGTTAGAGAAAGAGCAACCATTTGTTGCAAACTCAAAAAAGAAGAAACATAATAGACTTGACTAAAAAATTTGTTGTTATTTTCTTTTGTTGGTATTATCTTTTTCTCAATTTTTTGGGTGAGGTCTAATTTTCCTTTTCTTACATATTTCTTTTTCCTTTATAACATAGTATTTATCTTTATTTTAAAAATAAATTAAAAGGTACGTAACAAAGTAAAGAACGGAAAACATATAACTTTGATTCTTATTATTGAAAGCAGTACATTACATATAATAATACAACAAAAGTAGTTCAGCACTTGCAACAAAATGATAAAAACACACAATTAACAAACACACATACAGTATTACAAAAGCACACGATTGACATGTCTTATTTAGAACATTAATTGAACATATAGCCAACTCTTTGTGATATTCATTAGCTAGGTTGCTAAGAGGTCTTGTAGAAATTTCTCTAGAGAGTCTTCAAAATTCCAAAAGAAAATACCAGGAAGTAATTTGTGTTTGATGAGGTATTTGATGCCCTCATAAAGTATAGCGTCAACAGGATCGGTAATTCCTGCAAGGACTTTAGCAGGAGAGTAATCAATTACCAGTTTCTTATAGAGCTCTATAACTTGTTCCTTTGAAGAGAATTTCTGATTGTAGAACTGATAATCAACCAAGTCAATAACGAGTTTGTTGGCCTGATACAATTTTAAGTAGTAGGACTCCACGAGTTTTGTTGGAGCAATGGACACAACCGATAAACTTCTAAAACTTTTGAGTTTCTTTATAACTTGTCCAATACAAAAGGAAAAATCATCTTCACTTGAGTTGATGACATCATAATGAATATCGATACCATCGATTATGGTTTTGTAGCTACGGTTGTCGTCATAGAGATGGATAATTTTTTCGATGGTTTCTACGGCGTTGAATATCCATATATCTTTTTCGGCTGGATTGAATGGAAATTTCTCGCCAACACCTCCAATACTTATAACCACCCTCACTTCTGGATAATCTTTTGGATGATCTTCTTTCAGCTTTTTCACCCATTTAATACTTTCAGGATCAACTTTCCAAGTGGGGTGGAAACTTCCGTCGCCTTTTCCATGTTTATCATAGTTCTCGACGGCGAAGCTCAGAATGAAGTCGATTTTTTTGAACTTCTTGAGGAGGTCCAAATCGATTCCATCTGTTGGTATATCATGTATGTATTGACGAAAAATGGTTAGCTCTTCGTTTCCATTCCTATCATCAGAAGACATTCTCACAATTGAAATTTGAAAAAGGAATTAAAGTTTACTTAATTGGCTACTCTGGATGTCTGAAATGATCACTTCTTGCTATCCTTTTATAAGCCCAAGTACCAAACTAGTCCAAGATGTTCACACAATGGTTGTTAGGGAGAAAAAAACTATGGGAAAAGTTTCAACCAAATTAAAATGTTGGATCATTCATGTCCAATTACTTATGTGATTGGAATGGGAAAATAGAAATAACTCAACATCTTAATTAAATATAATAAGTGTTCTTTCACTTCACGTTTCTACTATGTTCACAATATGGTTGTTAGGGAAACTAAAAGTTTTTAAAAAAAAAAATTTAATTTTATCAAAATGAATTTTTGATTTATAAATTTTAACAACTTATTTAAATAACACATAAATATAAATAAATGATATACTTATTTACAATAATATATGTTACATTTAATCAAATTATTTTTCTTGAAGCTCCACCCATGGTAAATTTAATTCAATTATGATAATATCAATTAATTTGTACAATTCCAAGTGTAGGAGGAGAATGACATTTAAGAATTTTTTTTTAGAATAACCAGGTGTTTACTCTAAAATTTTCCCTCTTTTCATACACGCATATTATTGGTTTTATGGTTATGGAATAAAAGTATAATTATCAAGCTTCTTCAGGTTACAAGTGACGTTTATTTCGCCAATGGATGTTCTCAGAGTATTTATCGTGCTGAAGATCAGTTCACCGTTTTGCAATGATTTGGGATTCAAAGATTCACAAGTCCAACCCGGCGCGTCATCAGGTGTTCTTTCGCCAAGATATCTCTGATAACGTATTCTCAAATTTAGGTTCGGCTCAAGAGTCAATTCTTTAAAGAAGGCCTCCGAATGTATGAGTTTTCTCGAAGAAATATGGTGAAAAAGTGTGCTGAAAGTGCAGTTTTTACGCGCTAAAAAATTTATAACTTGAAGATCGTGGCTCGATTTGAACCCGTTCCGGTGGCCAAAATTTCTTCTTGATGTCATCTACATTTTCATCTTTCACGGCTGGAAGCCAATTTCGATCAGAAGGTCTTCAAAAATGCGGATTTATCAAGTATTTTCGTACAGAAAATTTGTGACAGAAGTTTATTTGCGTCATGTCCAGAAAATCATAACTTGGTCGATTTTCATCGTATCAAGCTGGTTCTGACGCCAAAATTTCACAAATTGAGTTGGCTAAGTTTTCACATAAGGTATTGAGTTTGAACGGTATCCAAAAGGCCTTCTTTTTTTGCTCAGAGTGCATGTGACGCGCTGAAAATCCTGAATGCTGAATATTATTTCATCTGGGCCGAAACTTCGAAAATTCATAACTCGGTCAATTTTTATCAGATCGGGTCCATCTTTTTACACAAGGTCACTGACTCAGAGATCTTCCAGTTTTTTATTGAAGAACGTGTCAGAGTCGACATTGGAGCCCAAAATAAGTTTGTCTGAGCTGAAACTTCAAAAATTCATAATTAATTCACTGTTTATCCGATTGAGCCCATTTTTGAACAGGAGTTAGTTCTCGATGTCGGCTACATTTTGTTTTCACATTTCAACTTTAAAAATTGCACTTAAGCCCCTGAGATTTATCTTGGAACGTGACGGACTCAAGTGAACATTGGAGGCCCAATTGCATATTCAAAGCCCATATCTTTGCTCTAATTTCCATTATATAATCTCATTCTTTTCACACAAAGGGGGAGACGAAAAAAACCTTTGCCACAACGCTGTCAGAATATCAAATTCTTTCAAGAACCCTAAAACCTTTAAATCCTTATTACAAACCCCCATCTCACTACCAACAAGTCATCCTTATTACAAACCCACATCTCACTACTTCTCCAGTAAGGGTAAGGCTGGTTTGATCTCCATGATCAAAAGGGCATAGAAGCATTCATCTCACTACTTCTCCAGTAAGGGTAAGGCTGGTTTGATCCCCATGATCAAAAGGGTATAATCATTCATACATGCCATGTCGGTTTTAATATTAAATTTTTTTCCATATATTTGTTTTATTTGTATTTCATGATATATAGTAATTTATTTAATGTGTTCATGAGATTCAACACTGCAGATTTAGACAGAGCCCGATGCAGGTTCATTACAGAACATTGAGGCCAAAACACTAATGGCCAAAATAGAACAACCACCAATGCATGACAAGGCAGACATCCTGAGAAGGTTAAGGGCGTGGGTTCAACAACCACCCCTATTGGTTTTTGTTTTCTTCCTATATTTATCTTTTTACTTATTTTCATTCTTTTTGTTTAAAACTTTTTTTTTTCATAAAAATTAACATTTTTCACAAACCTTTGATTTTTCCTCCTAAACTCGAATAATTAATTTTAGGTCTTTTTTTTAAATTTAATTTTAGATTTTAAATTAATTTTTGGTTCAACAACCACCCATGACATTTGCATTATCTTTATTTTCTAACCCTATTTTTCATTGATGTTTCTTCCCCTATCTATTTTTTGGCAAACTTAATTCTTTCTTATTAATCATTACACATAAATCTTTTTTTTTCAAAATTAATATTTTTTTATTAAACAATTAGGTTTTAACTTTTTCTTTGTAATTAACCCTTTAATTAACCATTTTTTTAACAAATTTGAATTAGATTTTTGTTTTAGTTAGTAACTGAATTTTTGGCTTTTTTTCCTTTATTAATAAATTAAGTTAATTAACTTTTTTATTAAAATTAGTTAGAATTAGGTTTTTTAATTAACTTAAAATTATTTTCTACAAAAAAACACCAAAAACGTTAACTTAGAATTTTCGGTTTTAATTTTTTCTTTAATTTCTTTTTATGTATTCTTTTACATTTTTATTTCTAGGAAAATTGTATAGGTCGCATTATCAATGTAATAGCGTAGATTTATCTTTTCTCACATTTTTTTCTAATTATGTAATTGCTTCCGGGATGTAATAGTTTTAGGATTTCTTTTCTGCACTCTTCATTATTATGTAACTGCTCTGAGGTTGTAATAGTAATTAGGATTTAAATTCCGCATTTTTATTTTCAGTCCAAAGTAATTATGTATCTGCAAAAGCCTTGTAATAGCTAGGATTTTAAACTTTCCGCATTTTAATCCGCAAACTATAAACTGCTTAGATGTATGTTAATAGGATTATATGGAAAGACAAACTGAAAATTAAAATAGTAGCTCACCTTAACTGTGCAAGGATTAAATAACTGAAATCAAACACATGCACATGCTCACTCTTAGGGTATACCTCACTTGGTTGCCTCAGAAAACAATGGTCATGTCCCTCGAACATAGGGATACCCTTAGCAAAGACCTTCGGTTAAAATCATCATAAAGGTCATGGTCCCTCGATGTCCCTCGAAGTTGCCTACGGTATATGATCTTGTCCCTCGATGTTGCCTACGAATATATGATGACAGTCCCTTCGAAATGCTAAGGTATCCTTACATGTTACCTTCAATGACCATTACGTTCCTTTCGAATTGACCCTTACAAACTCCAACGACGGTGCTACCTATTTTTCAATAGTAGGATAGCGTTGTCTAAAGGAAACGAGAATAGAAACAATCCTTTTTCGAGTAGGTAGATGCTAATAGGTACTTGCTCAAAATCAAACTTTTTACACCATACACTTACACTTTTCAAACTAAAGTTTTCAAAACACTTCGTAACACTCTTGAGGACAGAAACAAGGGTTAAAATGAAGTAAAACAAAACTTTTCAAAAACACAAACACACAAGCAATTTTAAAAAATGAGCAACTACCTAAGAGCCCGTAGATAACTACGGATAGAAATGGTGCTAACACCTTCCCTTTCTATAATCTACCCCCCGTACTCAGAATATATCGAAAAAGGAATTTTTCTGTGCTTTTTTCCTTTCCAGTTGGATAAAATAAAAGTCGGTGGCGACTCTTGCTTACTGCGACATTTTGCAAACAAAAAACGTAAACCAGTATAACAGTCGGTTCTGCCACCGTATCACACCAGGTATTAAAAAAATCGCAAATAACCATGTTTCGGAGAAAATTACGCAAATAATCATGTTTCAGAAAACCCCACAAGGGAGAAGTCAACCCAGTTGGCGCATCCACTCCCCATTTTGCCCTAGGCGCCATCCCACTTGGCGCCTCCTCTCTCTTTTAGCCAAGTGAGATGGCGCATGCACTTTAAAAGTGAGAGGAGGCACCATCTCACTTGGCTCCTAGGGCAAAATGCTATTTTTATAAATAATTCGTCCGTTTCTCCATCATTCCTCACACTTTCTCGCACTATTCTCTTATTTTTTACTCTGTTATTTACGTCATGACATTGTCCATGATATTTACCAGAGATGGTTACGTTATTTTCTTCGCCACAAAACCTCCAACGAAAATGAAATTCTGGCAAATTCACTCCATGGAGCGTCTGAAAAGGGAGTTGATGCCATGGCTAGAGGGAGACATCGAGGAGGGGGAACAAATTAGAAGGATCTAGTGAAGACGAACAACAACCTCACTTGCGATAGGAAGACCTAATTTTTGGTTGGAGGAAGTAAAAATAGACGGCGACGTAATGTTGATGATGCATGGGTCAGATGAAATTGTTTTAACGATTGTAATTTCGTAGACGGTTTATCATGTTTTATTTCTTGTTCGCGCAATGTTTATTGTAACAAATACTGTTAACAAAAAACCCTAATTTTTACAACTTAATAAAGGAAAGATTTTTTGTAATACAATTTTTATGTGGTTGAGCCAATAGCACGATTCGGACAATTTTTGTGATTGTGTCCGACCTGATGACATAAACCACACTTTCTTTCCAGCTTGTCAAGGGAGTCCATTTCAGTTGTGATGTGCTTACTTTTGGGACGACCCTTTTTATTCCTTCGCATTTGGTCATTGTGCCATACTATTTCGCTGTCGTATGCAGGCCAATAATCAAGTTTTGCTACCAAAGGGAAACTGTTGTTGTAAACGTTGAGCAAGGTTTCAGATTTGTAAATGGGAGA